ATCAACTTGACGAGGGACACTTTGTCAACAACATTGCTATAGAGTTTTGAAAATTTGAAATAGTTAGGTCATTACTCAAAAAATTTATTAATTAGATTTTTCCTCTTAATTTCCCCCCATAAATGTTCCTTAGTTCTATTGTGCATACAGAATTAACTTAGCTTGTTACTATTCTTTGAATTATGCCTTTACTTGTTGTTAGGAGAAGTAGCAAGCTAAGGTATCATCTTGTAGCTATAAGATTGGTTTCTGTAGGAGCCTATGTAAGTTCTTGGTGCCTATGTTAATGAAAAGAAACTTCAATGCTTGTTGCGCTGTTAACCAGCTAGTTATGGTCATCTTCAAATAGTTCTGTATATTCTGCACTGCCTAGATTTTGGAACTGTAAACTGCAGGGAGTTAAAAGAAATAAACGTAGTAATATTAAAAAAATATTTTTAATGGCGGTTATTTAAATAACTATCGTTAAAAATATTTACCATGGTGGTTCTGACAAAAACCGCCGTGAAAAATGGAATTTCCACTGCAGTTACTTAACAAAGCGCTGTGGAAAGTGGAATTTTCAACGGTGATTTTATTAATAACTGTCATGGAAATTTGATTTTACACAGCGGTTTTTAACAAAACCACTGTGGAAAGTCTATTTTCCACGGTAGTTTTCAACTGCTGTGTTTTATTTACCTTTCAACGTCAACTGTATCTACTATGCCTCCAAAACCGCTGTGAAAAACCCTTAATAACAGCCATTTAAAGCCTTTTTTTCTAGCAGTGTGTCCATACATTTTGTGGCATGCAAGGAATTAGAAGTCTCCAATCCATCTTCCAACAAAAGACTTTGTTGCTTTGGTACACTACTTGGGATCATTGAAGAACCATTGGTACTGTTTAGCATATCCCACAAAATTGATGATGGCATACCCACACGTATTAGAATATGAGTTAGTGGATCATTTGTTGGGGACATCCAAGACTGGTAGAGAGAAGGAATCACACATCATGCTAATCCTTCATGACCATAAAAAGATAGATTTAAAATGCTTTTTAATCTCACCAAAGAGCAGGGCACTCATTTTATTGTAGGAGCAATTAGAGTTGTCAAAGATTCTATTTGCTCTATATCCTCCTCTAGCTTTTTGATATTGTCACAACTAGAAAGAATAAGAGTTTCTAAGCATTTTAATTTATAAATGCTTCTTGGAAGACTTTGAAGCCCAATAGGGTCCTCCAAATCTAGTAGAAAACAATTATGAAGAAGCTTAATAGAATGATGTATCTTAGACAAACTTGGACAGTCTTTAAGTATCAACTTTTCAAGATTTAGTAGTTTTAAAAAATCAGGAGTTTGCACCAAGCAAGGAGAATGGCTGAGATTGAGAATTTTCAGATTCTCCAATAACTAAAATGAAAACATTTAATTTCAAAGAGGAATTATATTAACATCTTTAAAAGATAAATGCTACACGTTCTAAGTATAAAATCTAGTTTGTAGTATAATTTGTACTAAAAATAAACTTTATATTTAAGATCAAAAGAGTAATAAAATACTTGGAAAGATTATATGTAATTAACTCTGGAATAGAAAAAAACACTATCCAATGTGTAATCTGGAAAATCTAAGATAACACATACAATTCAGTAAAACGATGTAATGTTTAGATCTATAGCAAGAGATATAAAGCAATGTGAATTAAAGAAAATCTAGCAGCTTTATTCTTCAATAGCGGATAGGGAAGATTCGTTCAGAAGCTATGAAGAAAAAATCTAAAATAAAGATTTGTCAACAAGGTTGTAAAATGTAAAATCCAATAACAAATAGAGTAGTTTATTTACACGTCCCAAATCCCATTTCTATTCCATATACATAAACTTTGAAGCTAATATCAACAAATTAACTCAGCTTTTTGAGTCATGTACTAGCAAAAAAAAAAAAGAACAAAAACTATTTACCATAATGCTAAAAATTTGAAATATTTTGGTTATTTTTTTAGAGAAACTAGGCTTTCTATCATATAGCAGTTTGGCAATATTTTTCATTTTAATTTTTTTTTGGTAAATATGGCTCAAAAAGCCAACAAATTAACTATTAATTTACATACATAATGTTTCTTCCACACTTGTCTGAGGTTGCCGTGCTTTAAGTCAATAGCAACTAAATCCTCTTAATAAAGGTTGCTAGGAGTGTATTTTACGTGAAAGTGATGCCAACAAAGCCATTTGAGATCTTTGCTAATGCATTCGTAGTCTCCTTTAAGTTGCATACTGTCAAGCAAAGTAGTAGGAGTCTCTTCATCTTCTCAAATGCTTTCATCTGAAAATGCAATTTTTTACTTTTGACATCAAAGGCAATTCTGCAATAGCCTTTGTTCCTGCAAAAATAAAAGGATATTGAAATCGAAGTGTGCACTTGTTTTATTTATTTGCAGAAAAGTAAAATAGAAACATGTCTGCCATGATCAAGCTTACCATGTGTTTTAATAATACAGCTCGTCCATCCTCATAACACCACAACCTACTTCTCTTCCCGAGGTCATTTTGAGATTGCTCACGAATTACTTCTCTTCCCATGTCTTGCAGCAAATCATGCATACCAAGTTTGTTCGTCTCATCAATAGGTACAAGGCTCCACTCCACAAGGGTTTCGATCCCATTGTCAGGAAAAAATTTACATTCATTTAATATCTTTATCGCATCATTTCTGTCTATTCCAATAAAGAAGCAATATATATCAAGGAATATTTCTTTGTTAAAACCATCTAAAATGTCAAAGCTTATTTTTAGCTCATTTTGTATCTTGTCATTAGAAATTTCTGCTAGTTTCTCCTGTACTTCATTCCATTCCTTCGTGTCTACTATTAAACAAATGGATGCCAATGACTTCAAGAGCTAACGGAAGCCTCCCACAATATGCAACTATTTTTTTTCCAAAAATCTAGTGAAATCTTTTTTTGGACTTTTTTTTACTTGACGGCATGCCAATTAAAAAGCTCCCTAGATTCTCCTTCATCCAAATTCTTTATTACGTAAACTAGACAGTCCAAATTATGGAGTAGATGTTTGTTTCTAGTTATAATGATTATACAATACTTCCTTTAGCAAGCCAGTCACAACTTCCAACTAATCATTCACTTGGTCTATCTCATACATATCATCAAGCACAACTAGTGCCTTTTTTTTTTTTTTGGCAAAGTCCATCCCTCAATATGCTTTTTCCTAATGCAATGTTATTTATCTTCATTTGTGTTGTCTTGCATATGCCTGAATGAAGTTGGTTCTGTAAGCTCATGTTGTCCTATTCTTGACCCCAAACTTTTCTAATGTTTGAAAGGTGACTTCTGCCCTCAAAAGTGCAACCAATTTCATTATAGATGGCCCTGGCAATAGTGGTTTTACCTAAGCCCCCCATTCCCCATATCCCTACCATGACAACATTTTCAGATTGATGATTTTGGAACATTGTGATCACTTCTTGCACGCGATTATCCACTCCTACTAGGTGGTCAGGACAAACAAATTTTTCACTTCTTGCCCAATATATAACAAACTTCCCTAACAACATCTTTAACATATTCGCTCCCATCCCCGCGAATCATATAAGGATACTGGGAAATGTGCATTTGATATATAAACACGCACAATATTACAAATAAATAAATTCAATATTTTGAAATGTCCATGTGGTGTTTGGAAGAAAAAGGAGATATTATGAATAAATACTCATGATTTCACTGCGATACAAAAATTTAGTTCACTGTGAGCAGATTAATTTATGTGAATCAATATCACAATTATTTACATGATTTGGAATGTGTAAGGGAAAGAGAAAAGAGAAAGGGGGAGAGCCAAAGAGAATTTGGGAGAAGTTGAGAGAAACGAGAGAAGACAATTTAAACTTATGATTTCATTCAATGATAATTAAGGCATACATACGAGGTTTTAAGGCATGTTTGTAGAGAGCCCTAAACCTTTCCTAATTAATTAATAATTAAAACAAATCTTAATCGAGTTGAATTTAGTATAAAATAACTAGAAAATTTCAAAATTATTAAAATAAATAAAAGATAACAAAACCATTTTTTGTTCTTCAAATATTTGTCAAATGACCAAGTACTCTTTAAATAATTTCCTTTTCTACCTGACTAATAAGGTCTTCATACATAAAAAATTGGAAGTGGGGAATGGCTTAAGGCTTCATGTAATTCCTAAAGCCACTTATGATTTTGATTAAAAAGGGGCTTACAATAAGAATTCATTCACACAGATGGTTAATGAGTTACAATTTAAATGATTCAAAAGTAAAACGCAAAAACTAATTGGAATAAAGCACGATTAATGAAACCACTTTTTTTTTTTTTGCCGGAGATACTGCATATATCATGGGAAAAGGGTCTCTCCACTTCCTTTCCCTTCATTTTTCTCCACTTCTCATCTCAACCATAATATTGCAATTTAAACAGTTGAGATTTCATATTTTATAAAATTATGAATAAAATGTTAATTTTACTTAAAAAATCAATAAAGTTAAACTACTAAATTTTACTCATGATAATTTAAAACAATAATAAAAAAATATTTTACAAAATAATTTTATATAATTGAAATCTGGACCGTTCATATTACAATATGGTTAAGATTAGAAGTGGATGGAAATGGAGGGGAAGCGAAGTGGGAAAGGCCCTTTCCGTTCTTCCCATATATCACGTGCTTAGTTGATTTTTATAATAAGCCATGCATGATATGACTATGAGATGAATATGCTTTCTAGCCCTACTACTAGGTTTGATAAAATATTAAAGGAAATTGTGAGTAGAACAATACATTTGCTATATTAGGTTTGATGAATTTTACTATATATGCAACTTTTAAAACTGTGCCTGGCAGGAAACAAATAAAAGTGAGTCGTGCTCCAGATAATATGCATACGTATAAACATATATCAAGTGTCTCAATCAAAAGTAAATAAGGAGTAAAAAAATATTACCTCGAGCTAAGTACAACGGTTCCTACAAGGCTTCCAGCCTTAGCAAGGGCTTCCCCCACTCTGAAACTCGATCTTTTGATGGTGATGAATTACCTTTTATGAGATCTTTAAATACTATTCCAAAATGTGAACTTTGATGATGAATTTCTGATGGATCCACATGGTAAAACACAGGTAGAATCACCTGATTGTTATTTGATTCATGAAGCTCCGTGATCATTGATAATTCCTCTAAACACCACTTAGATCCAACATATTCCCCAGAGAAGATGACGATTGAGATTTTTGAACTTCCAATTGCTTGCAATAGTTCCGCTTTGAGGTACTTTCCTTTTGGGAAGCTCAACATGATCTTTGAAAACATGAATGCCAGCATAACGTAGAGACCTATAGAGATGTGAAGTAAAATTTTTCTGAGTGTCACCTCTAAAACTCAAGACCATCTCATACCTATAAGCTGATAAAATATTTTAGAAAAACATAATATCATTAAAGTTCTATTTAGATTAATATAATTAAAATATTATTATAAAATAAACATTTTTATAATATTAGATTATAAAATTTCGGAAATACTACGGACAACAATAATAATTACCAATATTGCTATGTGCATGTTGGATAATACGTGAAGCGCATAATGCATCCTTGCAAAATGATAATGTACCTCGATTTCCAAGCTCGTTTCGCGAAGTTTGACATATGATTTGCTTTCCAGTGAGCTGCAACAGATTATGCATTCTAAGTAATTTGTTGTTGTCAATGGTTACCAGGCCTCGATCCTCCAGGACTTCTATCCCTATGCGAGCATGGCATCCACAGGCATCCAGCTTTTGGATCACATCATCCATGTCCTCCCTAATATAAAATAAAACTATATTTAGAAACATTTCTTTTTCTTCAGCATTTAAAGAGTTAAAGCTGAGCTTTAGAGTGACGTATATATTATGTTGGAGAAATCTATTCATCTTCAGCAATCCCAATTTCCATTCATCCAGTGACCTACAACGCAAAAAAGAACCCACGGTTGCAAGAGCTAGTGGCTATGAACTACCTGATCATATGGTCTGTGAAACTTCATCATTTTTGTGAGTTCCCCAAGGCATGTTTTGGAACTAGCGTAGTGTTTAGAGAAGATGATTATTGAAATTTTAGAACCTTCAATAATGCTTTACAATAGTTCAATTGAGACATCATCTTTGAAAACGAAAATTCTAGCTGCACATAGAGATGAATAGAGATAGGAAGGGAAAGATTTTGGAGTCTCTTTGCCTCTACTAAAACTCAAGAGCACTTCATATTCATTGCCTACAATATTTTAAATTACACAAACATTGGTTTAACCCGGTGTTAGATTAGACGTGGTTAAAATAATATAATATGTACAAAAGTATTTTTGTGTAATCCTAAATAAAGTAACATTCAAATAAAAATGCGTTAATGGAATATTCATGTATAAATTAAATAATTCATAATCCAGTTTGATGGACTGCTATTTTTTTAAAATTCAAAATGATATTACTATTTTCGTTCCTTAATATAAGGGCTATTTGAAAATTTGATTCGGTCTTAAATATAAGATCTCAATCTATTTTATTGTCTAAAGTATCTCTATTAATTATACATGTCTAAAATTTTCCATCTAAGAGATGTCATGATTGAAAAAGGACACTTTAGAAAAATCAAGAGAGAATTACTATCAAGTCCCAAAGAAGAAAAATAATTATTAAAAAGTTCTAATAACAACTTAAGCAACCTGTAATGATAAGTTTTAGAGTGGGAAATGACAATCTCGGGCACTTGCCTTGTAATTATTTTTCGGGACCTCATTGTAATCTCCCAAAAATAAACTCATATTTGTAACAAATAATTAACTTAATTAATTTTTTTAATTTATTCAAATTAGTTAAATCGTTCTTACATTGAGGAGCAATGGTATATTTCAGACTCGTGAATAAGGACAAATAATAGGAGGAGGTATCCTCATTTAGTGCCAAATAGTACCTCAAACAAGTTTGCCTTCAATAGGAGGATATGTGTGCTTACCAAATCTAACACGATCAACTAGTCCAAATTTTTTCACTAGACAGACCTATGAAACAATCATGTGAGGATAAATAATTTATAATTATTTAACAGTTAAAAAAATGAAAAGCTTTTCAATTTAATAACAAAAATCTAATTTTGCGGCTGGAGGTAGGTGGAAGCTTCGATGATCTGGCTTCAAAATCACGCTTTGAATCCCAGGTAAGAATAAAAATAGGAGAAAATAAAGCACAGATTATTTCTTGGTGGGAGTTGATTTCTTTTGTGCTGATCAAAATGTCCCTCTTTCATTTATTTTTGGTACTCGTCCTTTTTTTAGTATTACCTCCGGTTTTTTATATAAAACTTCGTTTGACTTTTATTTTGATTCTAAATATAAGACCCATATTCATTTTGTCTCTTATATTTATCTATTTCTTCTAAAATAGTTCTTATAGTAGTTGCACATTTTAAAGGTTCAATTAAATGGTAGTTATAGTTAATACATATGATTAGCAATAGTATTTTAGAGAAGACAATACTTAATTATTACAAATAACTAATTCAACAAACTTTCTTAATCTACTCAAATTAGTCAACTAGCTCTTATATATCTTCCAACTGAAAGTGAAAAAATTAATTGGTTGCACGGCTGGCTCATAGGCTCATTGACCAGATCCATGGACTCTTGCCTCCGCTTCAAAGATATTGGAGTGTTGGAACGATCCATCGTGTCGTTTTGAAGAAGAATAAGATGACTCCGTTAAAACTGGATCAACTAGCATCATCATCAGTCGTGCCAAAAAGAAAAACGGCGTACGTATGTAGATGGAGCGGAAAGTTACCTGTGAATTGATGAGTCGGTGAAGGGGATATGACGGATCTTGTCGATGGCAAAGATCAGAGAAGTTAGAGAGAGAGAGAGAGAGAGATTCATGAGGCTTCTGCTGCTTCCGCGGATGAAGAAAGATTGAAATTAATGAAGCAAAGGGATACACAGAAAGAGACTTGGAAACAAGAAACCTGGAGGCATATATTAAGCGTCATTGGCTTGACCCCCTTTAAAGGATTATTAATATTTAATATGCATTAGGAGAGCAACAAGCCTTGTCGTCATTCTTCTCTCTCTCGCCCTCTCTCGCTCTCTCAATCAATCAATCAAGCGATTCCGTGATTGACACATCCTCCGGTCTTCTTTGAAAGTCTTTCTCAAAAGACTCTGCAAGGTCATTATCACGAACATTGGTTAAGATGAAGGATAAGTGGGCCAATGCTAGTTACGTTGTTAGCTCTCGTTATATGACTTTCGCCGTACACTACTTGAAAAAAAAACAAATTTTGACCACGCTAATTTACAGCGGTTGTTAAAAAAAACATTTAAAAAAAATGACAGTAATATTTTTATAATTATAAGAAAAAAATTTCATTTTTCACAGAATCAATGTGAGAAGTTTTATTAACGGAGGTTTTTAAAATAATTGTCGTAAAAAAGATTTTTCATGGTGGTTTTTTTTTAAAAATCGCCTTAAAAAATCTATCAGAATTTTAAAACCCTATCCATCACGTGATGGTTTTTACTTTTTTATACTCAGAGCTCATGGTTCTCTATTACCGTCTTCACTCGATTTTCTCCCTCCTCCTACCTTTACTGGTATTTATTTTTTGCTTCTATTATTTCCGCCATGTTTTTCTGTTACTGTTATTGTCGCTGTTGCTATTGCTGTCACCAACCATGTCATCCTCTTCATTCTTATTTGTGAGTTTTTCGCCTTTTATCCTCCATTTCTTCCGTGGGCTTCATAATTTTTGTGATTTGGTTGTTTTCTTTGATTAAAATATGATGTTTCTTTTGAGTTTAAATAGATTTGAGTTTTGTTCCTATCCTCGCTTAAGCATACTTTGATATTTAAAAGCTTGAATAGATTTGATTTCTTTCTCTCTCATTTTGTAGATCAAAGTTTAATAGCCTGAAATTCATAAATTTTATTAGATTTGTGTCTTGGAATTTACTTTTATCAAATCATAGTGCTTCGATCCGGTGGTTGAAGGCAAAACTAAGTGGTGCTATTATGGCAGGAAAAGGATCTACATGTGCTCCATCAAAATGCTTTAGACCGGTGACAGGTTATTAGTTAATTGATTCTCAAACCCCTTCCTTTGGAGCTTTGTTCCCCCGTTCCATCTTGATTAATAGGATGGAAGGCAAATTAAAAAAAAAAACTTTTCACAGTGGTTATATATATAATTGCCATGAAAAGTCACATACTGTGGTGGTTCTTAAACTGTCGTGAAATTATCTATATTCTACATCGATGACATAGATGTCGCTCTCAAAAATGTCATGAAAAACGCATTTTAACTACATCAAATATCTTTTTTCTAGTGGTGGTAGTTGCCGATGTAGCATCAACTAAACAAAATATATTTATAAGTTATCAAGTAGTGTTTATGATTTGAACGTATCACCAAACTGGGCACGTCGAGTTGAACAAGATAAGAGGAACACTGAAAACAAAAAAGTCAAATTAACCTCCAATATCTTGGTTGAGATTAACGAGGGATATTAGTATTGGTTCATTTGTGCGTTTAGATCATTGTTATGGTCCAATAAATAAATAAATAAAACACGCCCTCACCCAGAAATGAAACCTATAATCCAAGAAAAGTGATTGATCCTGTGAATATAAAGCTGTAAAGAAGTTTTGGAAGAGACCTGGGGAAGGGAAGGTTAAGGTGAACTATGATGTGGTTCTCTAATTGCAGGTACTGATACCGCCGCAATTGGTCAGACAGGGAAAAAGTGAAGGCTGATTCGGCTTTTTGCTGCAGAAGTTTTGGCTCTGAGGAAACCTGTATTACTATTGGATAAGTTAGAAATTAAGGGTACTGAGACTGATGAAGTATAAGTCAATGCTGCTTAAGAATGCAGAGCTGCTACTGAAGATTCTGAACAAGGATTTTTGCAGAAACAAGCGGCGTTAGTTAAAGCTTCTGACTGATGGTACAAGATTAATGCTACAATTACTCCTTAGTATAAGAGTTATTTTTTAGTGAGAACCATTACAATCAACATAAATATTTTGGAGAAAATAGAAGACAAAATGAATTCAGAACTTATATTCAGAATCAAATCATAACCCCAACTAGCTCTTATATTAAGAACTAGCAATAATTTTTTTTAAATCATAATCCCAGAACACTTAAAGTTTGCTTGTTGAATAGATGGTTTTGTTGGTAAGATAGAGATATACTTGCTAACCTTACATAGTCACCTTAGAATTAGAGCTTAAAATTGGGTTTTATTAATTGTAACAAGAGATTGAGCAATTAATAGAATTAAACACTTGTTCTTGGCTTGAGAAAACTTTTACAAGTACTTTTTGAATCCTAGACTGACACACATATTTTCATTAAAAGCTTTTATGAGAGGAGGTGAGATTGAATGCTACTAAATACAAAGAAGATAATAACTCTAGATCCCGATTTATCCTTGAAGTCCAAGAATAATTTGTTTTTATTAATTTTTTTATTTTTAAAAGTAGTTTTCTTCATTCTTGATGTGTTTCTATCACTCAAATTAAGCGAAAGTATGATAATTAATACTTGACCAGGTTTTGAAACCAAATCTTCATGGGAACAATAGTCTACTCATTACTTTATTACTTGTAATGACTCCTGCACTTGCGGTGCGAACTAACCCCAACCTATTTTATCTCTTATATTTATCTATTTTTTTAAGATAGTCTTTGTAGTAGTGACACATATTAAAGCTTTTATCAAATAGTAATTCTAATTAATATACATGATTAGTAATGATATATTAGAG